TGTTTTACACGAATAAGGTCAGAAGGATGTGTAACATTTTAAAGTTAGAATGAGGTTTCTGAGTGAAAGTATGAATGAACAGTTAGCAGTTGAAGTCGCATGAAGATTTGTTGAAGTTGAAGAATTTCTCCATTGACTTCAATGGTTAAAAATGTAATGTATTATGGGATGTATCTCTGGAATTATGAAAGTTATGAATGAGAAAAGTAATAGCCATCGATTCCCGACGGGCTGAACGTTTTGATGTTTGAAAGGAGTTTCTGCGATGTTCAATGCGGGAGGAGAAGAGGGCCAAAATAAGTCGGCGGAATAATAATAAACTTTTCGTGCGTAGAATAACAGTTAGTTGGAATGCTGTTAACAGCATTCCCACTAAATAACACGGGAATAATAAACGGAGCGCTCTCTCACCCTCCTGACAGCCCGTCTTGCAGCTCGCGGACCAGTAATGAGTGATCCGACAGTAAAACTAAACATATCTATAACTAGTTACGGTAGTTTGAGAGGTAATTAAAATAGCTACCTGTGATATTCTAACCTGAAGTGTGTGTTTTGCTCCGCTCACCGCTGCATGTGATCATGCAGAGCTGCGTGTCGACTCGTCAGCAGCTGATCTCTCTCTCCCGTCAGATTAGACTTCACTCGCGTTTATGTCCATATCGATCAGATCTAGCTAGTTCTAGCTAATGATATGACTACCTGCTTATTAAAAGACACCTAAACAATAAGTGTCGCTATGCAACTGGGTGAGGCCACAAAGTATAGCGCAGCATTATGCATTTGTTTACATGCCCACCGGAACCCCGAGGCATTACCAACAGATCAACGCACAATCAACCCATACAGGACATCTCTTTCTCCACATTACGTGTTAGACATTAGAATTGACTATTCTTGTCTGTCTGAGACTGCCAAGGCACACNATTAAGTGTTAGACATTAGAATTGACTATTCTTGTCTGTCACATAAGTGCCGCAACTGATGCGGTATTGCGCTAAGGGGAAATTATTTTGACCGGAGAGATTTAGATTTGCCGATCTTCAGCATATTTTAACGGTCGTAGTCCGGTAATTACCGGCTAACGGGAACTCTGGATTGTGATGTTATTTGCGTTAATGTATTGGATAATGAGCTGAACATATCCTTCCAGGTGATATCCATGGACAATACACAGACTTGCTGAGGCTATTCGAATATGGAGGCTTCCCTCCAGAGGCCAACTATCTGTTTCTGGGGGATTACGTGGACAGAGGGAAGCAGTCGCTGGAGACCATCTGCTTGCTGCTCGCCTACAAGATCAAATACCCAGAAAACTTCTTCTTGCTCAGGGGGAACCACGAGTGTGCTTCCATCAATCGCATTTACGGATTCTATGATGAGTGTAAGTTGGAAAACACACTGCCCTTGCTACATATGCATATTGATCACTGTCCTTATTGTGAGTTGGCCTAATGTAAAAATATAATAGCAAATCTGAATTTAGAAATCTAGTAAGTCGAAGAGTTTTCTTTTCAACTGCTCATTTCCTGATTTGTCTGTATGATTTCTTTTTTTTTTATTTCTCAGGCAAGCGCAGGTTCAACATAAAGCTCTGGAAGACCTTCACAGACTGTTTTAATTGTCTGCCCATTGCTGCGATCATTGATGAGAAGATCTTCTGCTGCCATGGAGGTTTGTGATGCGCTTCTGTTGAGTAGCAGCCACTGAATAATGAGGATAATACACGTGTCTCTGCGTAAATTCATTTAGAGTCTACACAAGTTTAAAAAAGGTGATGGCGCTATTTATAAGCATTCGGTATTTGATGAGGGGAGTCATATTTTGAAGTTGTACCAATATATACAACTTGTAATGTTTTTCTATACTACTACTATAGTTACTTAAAATACACCAGAAGTATCTACACATCTTAATCATGATGCAATATTAATGATGATGCTATTGAGAATACAGTTTTATTTAAATAATATGTTCTCACATCACTACCTGCAACTCAACCCAGACCATTTTGCTTTAGTACAAATACCACATTTTGCAGGATTTTCTGTAGTGTGTGCCGATTTTATTACAATCTTCTTTTCCTCCTCAGGGCTCTCACCTGATCTACAGTCCATGGAACAAATTCGACGCATCATGAGACCCACTGATGTGCCAGACACAGGTCGGTTCTGTTTGTCTGAACTAAAACGAGACAAAATCTTAATCAGCTGATTGCATCTTTCACTGGGTGTTTCTCAATACTGTTATATACTGGATAGATTTATCAAAGTTCTTTAACTGCTCATAATGAGTGCTAAACATGTAATTTAAAAAGTGTTTGTAGTAGGAGTAGTAGTAGTAGTAGTAGTTGTAGTAGTAGGAGGGCTGGTTGGTTGATGCCAGAAAAACTGCAGTTGAACACAAAGCACTTAAAGATGGGACGGTAGTGAAAACCCTCTGGTGTTGAATACAATAAACCAGAAGGTGGTGTTAATACACTTCCATCAGTGATCACTGCTTGTCTTTACTGTTTGCTCCAGGCTTGCTGTGTGACCTGCTGTGGTCCGACCCAGACAAAGACGTCCAGGGCTGGGGAGAGAACGACCGGGGAGTGTCCTTCACCTTCGGGGCCGATGTGGTCAGCAAGTTCCTCAACCGTCACGACCTGGACCTCATCTGCAGAGCACATCAGGTAACGCTACGCAGCTACAATCAAAATAACACCATGGAGAATTCAACTTTTATAAAGTAAAATAACCTTATTTTTTAAAATAATTTCATGTAAATACGTTACAGCCTGCATAGAAAAAGACAAAAAAATAGTGTTGATTATTGGTTGAGATGAACATATTCATAAAACACACTGATCTAATGTAGCAGCTCACTTATATAAATATACGTAACGTTTTTTTAAATGCTTCTATCTCTAAAGTCATTTTCTGTTAAGAGACACAATGTGTTAAAAAAAGTATGACCAGTCAATGAAATACCTCGTAATAAACACATCTTTTTGAGTATTTAAGAAAATATGTATTTACGGGGATTAATAAAGGTCCATCTTATCTTAGAGTCTCTGCATTGAGTTATATAATGGCTGGGTTTGGTATTAGAACATATAACACGTTCACACCTGCAAAGGTAGAACCAAAGCGCTACTTGTTATGTTGCTGAAAACCTGACTGATTCTGCCGCCTTACAGGTTGTTGAAGACGGCTACGAGTTCTTTGCCAAGAGACAGCTGGTGACGCTGTTCTCCGCCCCAAACTACTGCGGGGAGTTTGACAACGCAGGCGGCATGATGAGTGTGGACGAGTCCCTCATGTGCTCCTTTCAGGTAACAAAAAACTCTTGCAACATGAATCGTGATATGCTTTAAAGGGATCATTTGGATTGTTTAAGTTGGGTTTTATAAGGTAATTATCTACAGTGTTTCCCCTAGGTTCACTGCTTTGGGGGGGTGTGGGTTTTTTAATCCCCTGGAACAGAGAGAGGAGCTGTGGATTATTGTTATTGATTAATGCATCTGTGTTTCTTAGGGTCAAAAACACTAAACTCACAACTTAAAATGAAAGCGCTTAGTTTCTTTAATAAAA